TCAGGATGATAATGAAAGCCACAAGGCTACTGACGCCGATGCTGAAGACTCGGATGAGGATGAAGGTGAGGGAGAAGGAAGTGGAGAAGGGAATGATGAGGAAGAAGTACAAAGGAAGAGTGGATCATCATCGAAATCACAAGAGCACATCGATTCAACTAAAACCTCGGCAGCATCTACTCAGAATTATCAAGATTTTGAAGATGACGAAGACGATGAGGACACTCCTTTACCAAGAGATGGCCGCAGACGTGAGGGTCACAAGGATAATGAGGACACTCCTTCACCCAGAGATGGTCGCAAACGTGAGGGTCACAAGGATGATGAGGGCACTCCTTTAGCAAGAGATAGTCGCAGACGTGAGGGTCACAAGGATGATGAGGGCACTCCTTTAGTAAGAGATAGTCGCAGACGTGAGGGGTTGAAGTCGTCAGTTCCTTAAAAAAAACAGCTTCAACTCGACATACAAAGGATTTACATGCGGCAAGGATGGATCGTGAAGTACATGATGATGAGCCACCAAAATTCAAGCGACAAGAAAGAATAAGTCACATTTATGTTTTATCGGAGGGAAAAACTGAGGATGAGAATGGTAAGATGCAACGTACTCAATAGAAAAGACTTTTGCCGACATTCTTTGATTTTCTTGAGTCGCGTCTCCTGACTTGTGGCTCGTAACTGGCGGCTCATGTTGCATAACTCGTGCCTTGTGCCTCGTAACTGGCGGCTCATGTCGCGTAATGACTCATGTTCTAACTCATGTTTCGTGGCTCGTGCCTCGTGTCTCGTGACGCAGGTTTCGTGCCTTGAGCTTCGTAACTCGTGTCTCGTGTCTTGTGACTCGGGACTCATATCTCGTGACTTGTGACTCGTGTCTTGTCTCTCGTGATTCGGGTCTTATATCTTGTGCCTCATGACTCATGTCTCATGACCGGTGACTCGGGCCTCGTGAGTTGAGACTCCCGTCTCGGGCCTCGTAACTAGTATCGAAAAATGACTCACTCTTGTCGACATTATTTGATTCTTCAGTTCGAGCTTACAGTTTTAACTTCAATTTAACTTTGTATTACGAAGACTAATCGAATGTTAGCTTCGAGGAATGCAGGTCAA